CAAGGACCCCAAAGCCCCCACAGACCCCAAAGGCCCCACAGACCCCAAAAGCCCCAAAGGCCCCAAAAGGCTCCACAGACCCCAAAGGTCCCACAGACCCCAAAAGGCCCCACAGACCCCAAAAGGCTCCACAGACCCCAAAAGGCTCCACAGACCCCAAAGGCTCCACAGACCCCAAAGGCCCCACAGACCCCAAAAGGCTCCACAGACCCCAAAAGGCTCCACAGACCCCAAAGGCTCCACAGACCCGAAAGGCCACACAGACCCCAAAAGGCGCCACAGACCCCAAAAGGCTCCACAGACCCTCAGTTTCTATCGACCCCAAAAGGATTTTATGGCCCCTGAAGGGTTTTATGGACCCCAAAAGTTCCCACAGCCCCCAAGGTTTTACTGACCCCAAAAGATTCCACGGACCCCGATGGGTTCTGCAGACCCCAAAAAGGATTTTATCAACCCCCCAAGTGATTTTATAAACCCCAAAAAGGATTTTATCAACCCCAAATGATTTTATAAACCCCAAAAAGGATTTTATCAACCCCAAATGATTTTATGAACCCCAAAAAGGATTTTCTAAACCCCAAAAAGGATTTTATCAACCCCAAATGATTTTATGAACCCCAAAAAGGATTTTATGGACCCCAAAAAGGATTTTATGGACCCCAAAAAGGATTTTATGGCCCCCCCAAATGATTTTATGGACCCCAAAAAGGATTTTATCAACCCCAAAAAGGATTTTATCGACCCCAAATGATTTTATGGACCCCAAAAAGGATTTTATCAACCCCAAATGATTTTATGGACCCCAAATGATTTTATGGACCCCAAAAAGGATTTTATCAACCCCAAAAAGGATTTTATCGACCCCAAATGATTTTATGGACCCCAAAAAGGATTTTATCAACCCCAAATGATTTTATGGACCCCAAATGATTTTATGGACCCCAAAGGGTTCCACAGACCCCAAAAGGATTTTATGGCCCCTGAAGGATTTTAAGCCCCCACCCCAAAGGATTTTAAGGACCCCAAAGGCATCCCCAGACCCCAAAAAGGATTTGATGGATCCCAAAAGTTTCTGGAGACCCCAAAGATTTCCAGGGATGGATTTTGCAGCCCCAAAGGTCAAAGGTCAGAGGGGTTTTATGGCCCCGGGGTTTTATGGCTTTAGGGTTTAATTGCTTTAGGGTTTAATTGCTTTGGGGTTTAATTGCTTTGGGGTTTAATTGCTTTGGGGTTTAATTGCTTTGGGGTTTTATGGCCCCGGGGTTTTATGGCCCCGGTTTTACACCCCGATGTGTGAAAGTGCCTCCTGCCATAAAGATTTGGGAACTTTTCTGGGTTCGGCGCCTTCCTGGGGCAGCGAGGACGGGGTGGGATTGGGGCTGTGCCGGGAGCCCCCGACCCCAAACCCACGGGACCCCTGACCCTAAATAACCCCTGACCCTATAGGGGCCTGGGACCCTAAATAACCCCTGACCCTATAGGGGCCTGGGACCCTAAATAACCCCTGACCCTAAATAACCCCTGACCCTATAGGGGCCTGGGACCCTAAATAACCCCTGATCCTATAGGGGCCTGGGACCCTAAATAACCCCTGACCCTATAGGGGCCTGGGACCCTAAATAGCCCCTGATCCTATAGGGGCCTGGGACCCTAAATAACCCCTGACCCTATGGGACCCCTGACCCTAAATAACTCCTGATCCTAAATAACCCCTGACCCTAAATAACCCCTGATCCTATGGGACCCCTGACCCTAAATAACCCCTGACCCTAAATAACCCCTGACCCTAAATAACCCCTGACCCTAAATAACCCCTGATCCTATGGGACCCCGGGACCCCAAAGAACTCATTGATCCCAATAGATCCCAATTGATCCCTATTGATCCCAACTGATCCCCATTGATCCTGGGACCCCAAAGAACGCCCTATTGATCCCCTGCATCGATCAGCAGCCATCGGTGATAGATCAGCGGTGATTGATCCTCGGGTATCGATCCCCGTTATCGATTCCCGTTATCGATTCCCGTTACCGATCCCTGTTATCGATTCCCGTTATCGATCCCTGTTATCGATCCCGGTTACCGATCCCCGTTATCGATCCCGGTTATCGATCCCCGTTATCGATCCCCATCGATTCTCTCGGCGCTCCCCGCTCGATTCACTCGGCGCCTCTCCGCCCTGCCCCATCGATACTCTCGGCGCTCTGCCCTCTCGCCGCTCGATGCTGTCGGCGCTCGGCGCGGGGCTGGCGGGGCCGGGAGTGGGCGGGGGGGGGGGGGGGGG